ACATTTTTTAATATTGAGTTACAGGGTAAGTATGTAGAGAATTTATGTAAAGCTGCTGACAAACCTGACGACTTTTATTATAATTGAAAATTAAGTAATAAGTAGTGTGAAGTTGTGAAGTGAATAAAAAAAAACTTGTAAATTCGCTGAATAAATAAAGAAAAAATAATGTTCTAGGGAGCAGTGCCTCAATGTGTGTTGTTGTTGAAGGAATCAGTTGATGTAGCATTTGATGCGGTAGAAAATTAGGGTTAATCATTTCACTTGATTAGTTACGAGTTGTTAAATTCACAGTTTTTATTATTAGTAGTAGTAGACGCATTCTCTTGTAACTGATTTATGACAGCTGGTCAGAGAAACCGTCTTGATAACAACTCTTCATGGATACAGACTTTCATGCCTTCATTGAAATTCAGAGATATTTTTGTTCTTACGAATTGTCTTGCAGAATAGCCACGATACTACCAAAAATTTGCATCTACATAGCTCAGGTAGTAATTCTGAGACATAAAATGATCGGCCGTTCTTGCATATGAATAAATGAAGTCGTCCACAAAAGCATCGGAAAGACCTAACAAAGCGACCATTCACGTGGATATCCATTATTAACTGCAGGAATACAGTTTTCTGACTTTCGCTCTCCTTCGTTTATTAGTGGTGATGTGGTGTGTGTACTCATGCATCTAGTCTTATCATTATATATATGTACGTGTGTGTGTTTTATTGCTTTTAAAAAACTGTGTGTACTCATGCGTTTAGTCTTATCAGTATGTATATATAACGATTTTATTACTTGTAAAAAAATATGTTGATTTTATTTCAAGGAAATTGAAATAAAAAATGATCAATAGGACTTGTCACGCACAAAGTAAAATTATTTAATCAATAAAGTTCTGCATAGATTCTTTTTTTTTTTGAGAAAAGTATAAGTTTTGCGACGACTTTTTCAATATTGAAAAAACTTTATTAGAACTGTACATTCAAGCCGTCTCAAAACTTTTACTTTTGTATTTCTTTTAACGTCATTTTTATTAACGTTTAGTTGGTTGTTTTTGTGGATTTTGATGTAATGTTGAACGTTTTTACTCCATACGTTTTCGTATAAATAAATTAATTTGACGAGATTAAGAAACGTAATATATAATTTTTTTTCATGCTTCAGACGTTTTTATATATCAGTGAGTTTAGTTCACTTAGATATAAGGAGCCGTTCAGGTTTAAAATTCGAGTTAATCCAGCTGCCTTCCCTTAGCCTGTAAGTTCAAAATTAAGGACGATTAACACAGACAGCCTTTGTGTGGCTTTGCGCGAAGTGCCGACACAAACAACATGCAGTTATTTTAATATGGTTTAATGCTTATAACGTAATATTTAATTATGAATGTTTTCAATCAGTTTATGAGTTTGTTTTTTTTTATAATTAGATTTCATGGTGTACTTAAGTTTACCGATACTGATATAAGTTATTATCATGCAGAAGGTGCATGAAAAGTTTTCCATATATCAACCATTTTAATTTCTTAAGTTGATTGACCGGAAGTAATTTTCTTTAAGTACATAGTCTTTGTTATTCATATTCTTGTGTTTCGTTTTTTACTTCGTTAATACTGTCCAAGAATTGATAGTGATGGAGAGGCTTTATTTACTGCAGTAAAAAAAAAAAGAGAAGTTATGCATTTTAAAACCAAAACATATTCTTTAGACTAATATTGTAGAAGTATACTACAATTCATCAAAGTGATCGCACAAACTGAGGGTACGTGTTGTAACTTTGATCTCTTGGTGTTAACTCATAAATGACCACTCAGTTTTATAACTTAGTGGTTCTATTTTTGTTTTGTTAACGAATACGAATGACTTTAAGATTTGAACAGAATAGTATGTTTAGTTTCTTATAATGTGGACGATCAAACGAACCAGTTAAAATGGAGACGTTACATTGATTTTATCACAAATCACCGTACAAAATTTTGATAATGCAACAATTTAATTTTGTGTTGTCGCTCGACCAAAAGCGAATAGCTCGTGGTAAAGTATTCTGTTTCAAAAGTTAATATTGAAAAGCTTTAAAATGTAGGTAGTTTTCGATCTAAATCAACTTCTTCAGTTAATACCTAAGCGCAATACCTAAGTTAATAACCTTGACGTACTATTAGAATACAACCTGGAATCGTTAATTTACTAATTTTACTGCTGTTTAAAATGCTTTGACATCATTCTTAAAACACGAAAAGTGTAAATACGTCAGTAATATGGCAATAGTGCCGGATATATCTGGAGGTATTTGAATTAGTTCTTAAAAAAAGTTTATTCCTGTAATTATACAAAACAGTGTGTTCATTTTGTCACAGTTTTTGTTTTTTCGTTTGTTTCTTAAAAACAAACAAGAATAAACAGTAATTACACCAGTCATTACAGTTAATTTTATTTATCGTGCTGTTTTATCTATTTGTCTTCAGGGCTGCGTAAGCGTTCGGCGTTTAGGCCACGCGTTATTTCCAACTACTGACTCATCAAGAGTTTTGTTATCTCCTGATAAATGACTCGGCTGTAAAGGACTTCTGTTCTTTTCCTGCCATTATTAGGCTGAGCGTGGCCCAGCAAATAGCGCGCCAGACTGTGGATTAGCAGGTCAACAGTCCGCGGCGCGTTACAGCAGCAGCAGCAACAACAACAAAAAGAAAATGAAACTGTGTTCATATAACTGTAATCCAAGAGTTGGCGGTGAATGCTGTTGACTAGCAGCCTTCCCTTTAGTCTAACATTCGAAATCGAGAACGACTGGGGCAGATAATCCTTGAGTAATTTTGCACGAATGTTCGGGCACGGGGGGGGGGGAGAAACTGCTAGTATTGCCGCGCAGTGAAGTAGTCTTTCTTCTAGGCAATTCATTACGACTGAATTAGGCGCTAAAAGAATAATAATAATGACATTCAAGCCACCTTTCATGGCAAAAGACTAGTAAAGCCAAAGTATTTGAACTTTTTTGCGTTCTAGCTAGCGTCATATAGTTTAATGGTACATATTTACACATTAATGGAAAAAAATGGTGCGTCACAATTTTATCATTTTAACGTTATTTTTTATTTTCTTGTTTAAGTTTTTATTCAAAATATATTTTACAAGTACTTACATTGGTTGGCTGAAATTAATCATGCTGTGCCAGAAGAATATGAGCAACAAATTTATTGTGGATTTGGCAAAATGTGAAAAGGGGAGAAAAAAATCAATTGACAACATCCAGATGCAAAGAAAAAAATAACTATTTATGTAAATAAGTAAACAAAATTGAAATAGTAATAATTAACTGAAATAAACTAATGAAAAGGGTATCTAAAATTACATGCAGTTAAGCATTATCACAATTTGGGCATGAAACAGAAGAGTAAAATATTCAAAAGAAAAAAAAATAATATTTGGTCACTTTTTCAGAATGTAAATGTCCAGTGTGTATTGCTAGTTCCATTTAAAGCTTTCCTAAATCTTTGTTTGAAATGAGTATTCTAAGTTAATAGAGGTATGGCTTGAATTTCATTGGAAAGACGGATGCTGTAATGTCAAAAAAAGTATTCAATTGGCAGAGATGTAGTTTTAAACCACATTTAGAATACTGTCAGGCTTGAAGCAGAAACAGTAACTTAGCATAAACATAATTTCTATTTTATTGAGATGTTTTTTTCACATTACTGTGGTTGACAGCAAGGTGATGTAATCCTTACTTGGCTTTCTCAAATCTAACATAAAAATAAGCAGTCATAGTGTTTTAAAATTGTTCTTGTGTGTCTGAAGTGAAGTGTAAATTTCTTTATTGTTCACATATCTCTAAAGGAAAATTAATTATGTGTTTAATTTTTTTATACGTCTTTAATCTTGGAATGTTTAACATAAGTAAATGTGTGTAGATTTAAATTATATGGAATTTCCTCTTGTTAGAATGGTTTTACCCTTTTATTCTGTATATGACCCTGAACCACTTTGAAATGAAGTTTTCTTAATCAAAATAACTTAAGTGAAATAGAATTTTGGTATTGATTTAAAATTTAATCATTGTACTTTCAGATGTTGTTTCTGTATCAAAATCTGCCTAGATATTAGCAAGCATCACAGAGTTAAGTGGTATGAACATATACAGTTAATGCTTTGTAAACCCTTACTGAACCTGTATTTTGACATTTCCTTCACGAGTTTCGATTGAAAAGATATATATCAAACACTTATTGTCTAACTGTTGTTTCAGTCCATTCTTTGTGTTTGGACTGGTTTTCACTCCTTCTGAGCTTTGCTAAAGCACAAAACAAACATCTAACCATATGAAGCATCAAGAAACTGACATTAAAATATCACTTGCATTGCCTCTTTATGTTAGGTTTAACTCTAACTTTTTTCCTGCTGTGTTGACCCTCTTTCTTCTTCATATCACCTGTGCAAATGTAAATTTCCTGAATTTTTTTTGTTCTCTATAATTTACTTGAGGATTTCTTGTATTATTTTAATGTTTGAATTCCAGAAAGAGCAAATATAATTTAAAAATTGTGTGATTAAGGTAAAGATGCCATATAATGTGTGTGTATTATAATCTATAATACTTTTTTGACATTGCAGCATCTACTTTCCCAATGAAATTCAAGTCATACCTCTATTAACTTAATAGTTATTTTGATTTTGGATGTGACAGATCCAGAATGAAAAAAAAGCATAATTTATATTTATATCCTAATTTTTTATGGTGGTTATGAGATCGGTCAAATCGATCGAACCCATATAGAGATTCGTTAGTGAAAATAACAGATAAAACATAAAGTTTTTCATAAGAAACATTTGATAACTATGTAGATGTTATAAAGATTTTGCATGTGATATTTGAAAATTTTCTGATGCATAAAAGTATTTTTAATCTTAAAATGAAGATTACTCTGCATGTATTATGTATGAATATTAACAAGCTAGAATATAAAATAAGAACCTCATTATACATATAATTTGTTTTCTTTTTTTCCCAGAGTACAATAAATTTGAAGCAAAGATTCATGATCTGCGAGAACAAATGTTAAACACATCAGGAAGCTTGCGTACCTCTCAGAAGCGGTCCCTCTATGTTAGGTGGGTTTTGTTTGTCTTGTTGGTTGTCGTTAAAGGGAGATGAGAATGAAACACTTTTGTTCAGTAATATTATTTGTATACTCTGCATAGTCATAAACTGACAATAATATACAGTACTTTGTTTATATTTTAACTTGATTGCAGGGCCTTGTTTGACTATGATCCCTCAAAAGACAGTGGCCTTCCTAGCAGAGGTCTACCATTTCAGTTTGGTGACATTCTTCATGTTATCAATGCTAGTGATGATGAGTGGTGGCAGTCAAGAAAAATTCTTCCAAATGGGGAGGAGGAGGGCATAGGAATCATTCCAAGTAAAAGGAGGTTAGTTAGTCTTTTTTTTTTCCCATGCCATTTAACAATAGCAGAGACATTGGAACTTGGGGTGCTATAGCACTCCCACTTTTATATATTTGACATATATAGCAATTGTAAATTGTATTAATTTTCTGAGGGAGAATACTTCCAAACCGTCCTAGAGTGAGCTACCAAAAACCCCCACTTTTCAAACTCCTTCTTACACCACTGTATAGTATTGTAGTTATCTGTATAATTTATAATCAGTCCAAGTAAAAAATGAGTATTTTTGACCAAATCATATAATAAGGTATAATATAAAATTATTTTAAGTAAAATTATGTTATTTTTCACAAGTAAGTATTATATTGTAGCTTAATAATGCAAAATCTCTTTGAAGCAGAAGGTTTATTTATTTTTAACCCTTTCCACATGAGTCAAAGGTGTTTGTTGACTTGCATTCAAAATTATATTGAACTACTATTTTATGAATTTATGTCAATAAGTTTGGTATCAAACTGTAGATTATAATTCAAATTTTAGTATTATATAGTATTTGATTTCTTAATTTAAAAGTAAATATGAAAAAAAACACACCTGAACATTGATTTTTTTTTATGTCATGCTGTATGTTGAATCATAGTTTGCTAAGCCTTATAAAATTTGCACGTGGAAGATGTGAAACGAAATTTTTTTTTTGGTTTTATATATACATTTCAAATAACCAAAAAATCATAAATTACTATATCAATACCATATAATTCCACTATAATTTATCATGCTTAATAATCAAGCTGTATTTGGGACTAAAAAAATATGAAATTTCGAGCAGACTAAAGACTCACCTTTCCAGCTTGAAGATTTGTATTGAAAGAAGAAGGTGATGTTGTAATACTTGAAAATGGCTGAGAAAGTCACAAGGGGGACATTCTGTGCTTTCTATTGGTTATTCACATGTCATAAACAGAAGTAAGTGTATATATAAGGGAGCATTTCCAAAAATGGAAAAAGGTGAGTGGGGCCACTGTGTTTGATTCAGTACATGAGCGATATCTCAACAAATAGAAAAGATATGAGGTTCTTATTTTATATTCTAGCTTGTTAGTATCGGTAATTTAAGTTTCCAATTCGTAAAGAACAACAGACTTTGTATTTTGACATCACAAACATCTAATTTAAACCAATCAAGTAGTAAACGAGTACAAAGGTTTTAACTAGAAGAGATAATTGTTTGCTGTACTTCTTTATTTACTGTTCTGTGTTTTAAGAAAAATAAGTTTAAGAAGTTATTTGTAAATAGTAATATACATATATTATGTATAGTAATTGAAATGTGACTGTATTTTACAAAATACTAGTCCACTAAAACACAGCCAAAACAAGTCACTTTGTAAAGACTAAAGGTCAGTTTTATACTATTGGATACGTACGTGCACCACGTCATTGTAATTTCTGTATTGTTGGCCAACAACTGAAAATTCAATATAATAAAATAATAAATAGATATAAATATATAATGTCATAAGATTTAAGCTTTTTAGTCTAAACATTTATGTTTTCGTGTTATAATTTGCATTCATTCTAGAATGAAAAAGGCATAATTCAAATCGATTGAACCCGTATAGAGATTTGTTAGTGAAAATAACAGATAAAGAAACGTTTGATAACTATCTGGATACTATAAAGATTTTGCATGTGAAATTAGAAAATTTTCTGATGCATAAAAGTATTTTTAATCTTAAAATGAAGGTTACTCTGCATGTTAGACAGGCAACATGTAAAAAGAAAAAAGACATGAGAGAAACATTGCTTAAGAAATTTTAAGACTTAAAAGAAAAAATCTGATAATTTACATATGAAAGCCTTGTTATGTTTACTGATAAACTGCCAAATTGCATGAACATTTGCTTACTAATTTCAAAGTTATAGCATGAATACTATAACAAGCACAAAATGGTTATGAGGTTGGTCCATGGGACTGAACCCGAACTGAAGGAGTTAATAAGAATGTATTATTTTTGACTCTGTTTCCTATTGTATGAAGGTTTATAACTTTTATTTGTTCCTCATAAATAATTTGTTATTTTCTGTTTAAGTATCACTTTGAAACCAAGGTGTATTACAATGAATAGTTTTTAGTTGCTCCACAGAACTGCTAGGGGTGGTTCATTATAGGTATAACTGGATGATTTAATCAATATAATTACATGTAAATACCAATGAGTAGTGATTACATTGATTAGCATCATGAAAATAATAAACTAATCAAAATTACTGTTTCTGATTGTTCAAATACACTGTTACTTGAAATTATAATCAAATTGATCGTCAAAAAATAATTAACTAATCAAAATTAGTTGTTTCGATTATTACTGTTCTCAATTATCACAACAGTTGATTAATGGAAATATTGTTGTTATATTTGTTTGTTTTTTAAACATAAAGCTACATAATGGGATGGAATGCCTCATGATTTGAGGACCCTGGGTTTGGTTTCCATCACTATTAAATTTGCTTATCCTGGCTTTGTTATTGCAAAACTATTTGCCACTGTCACTAAGGTTGAATTGCTAACTAGATGGAAGGCAACAGGTTGGCAGCACCCACTGCTAACTCTCTGGCTACTTAAGTGTTAAATTTACTGTTTTTTACATTGTGTTTTGTTTATAATTGAAATAATTGTATTATTTAATGTTGTATAAGCAGGCACAAATCTAGGGGAGAGGTCTAGGGGCCTGGATCCCTGCATTTTATTTTGTATTCAGGAATAAATAACTATTCTTTAATATTGTATAAGCTAGCATAGATATAGAGGAGAGGTACAGGGTGCCAAATCCCCTCTTCCCACTTTTTTCAGAAAATAATAGGTGTAGTATTTAATGTTGTATAAGTAGGTGCAGATTCAGTAGAGTATCTGAACCTCTCTATTTTCTCAGAAATTAATAAAAACAGGCATCTTGTTTGCCAATGCAATAATTTTTTTCTAAATATGATAAATAATTCTAACTATTTGATTTTAATTAAAAAGTTTGTTTGTTTTTTAACTTTTTTATTTTCATATCATTCACATTACTAGAAATAAAAAATATGAGCTTTGAAATCACTGAATTATAACTTGACTGAGCTAATCACTTACAGAACATATTAATGTTATTTTAACTTTATTTGATTTATTAGGTTACTTTATAACTTTATGGTCAACACTGATTAATCCAAAGTACTATATAATTATAGTGGAAGCACTTTCTCTCATGTAAAAACTACTGAAAGCTTGGTTACTGAGCTTGTCACTCTACCTTAGATCTAAAGAATTGTAGAAATTAAGAGTGTTAATTGAACAGTAAACTAGGAAATTGAAAAAAAAATATGATAGAAAAGAAATTTGGCTGAAAATGTAAAAAAATTAATAGTAAGAACTTCTTTATATATGTTAATGGTCAGAAAAATATGGTCTTTGAGGAATGAAAAATGGAAATTTCATATCTGATGATTATGAGATGGCCGAGTTATTAAGTTATACTTTTTCTTCAATTTTTACCAATGAAGATTTAAGCAGTTGTCCTCATCCTGAACAGTTGATAGACAGAAACAAGATTGAAAAAGGTGATCACTCAAAGTCTGAACTTGTTAAGAAAAAATTTGGAAGTTTAAAGAATGATAAAGTTTCTGGGCCAGATAATCTTTACCCCAGGGTATTGAAGGATGTTAAAGATTTGATACGTGAACCATTTGCTACTATTTTTTGTGAGTTCTCGAGAGGGGGCAGGTACCAGAAGATTGGTAGTTGACTAATGTTACTTCTCTTTTCAAATGAGGTTATAAAAATTTGACCAATTAATTATAGCCCTATTTGTCTTATATCAGTGAGGGGAAAAGTTTTTGAAAGCTTGAAAGAAGATGCCTTACAAAGTCATTTAACAAATTTTAAAATTTTGTTGGATAGTCAGCATGATTTCAATAGGGGAGAATCTTGCCTTACTAATTTTTTGACATTCTTTGAAGGGTTTCTATAGTTCATTGTGTTTATCGATGCAGGACTCATTGTCACCAACAGTATTGGTGACTATACTGTGGGTTGTGGTCCAGTGGGGGCTTGTTTGACTGATTTTGTTCCTTTCTGGTGGGAATTTGCTACCAATCATTAGGTTCTTCAGGTTTTCTATTCTAATTCCATTCCCCACCATTTTGTCTCCTGTTCCCATATCCTTTCTGTTACCTCGGGATACTCCTACCAGTCTGTCTGTCAGAGGCAGCACAGACTATTCTATCACAAAGAGCTATTGAGCCTGTTAGCTGTACTTCCCCAAACTTTTACTCCAGGCTGTTTGTGATACTCAAGAAAACCGGGAACTGGCATCCTGTGATCAATCTGTCCCACCCCAATCAATTTCTTGATCTTCCCTATTTTACAATGGAGTCCTTTCTCACACTAAGGTGGGCTTTCTCTTCAGGATTGTGTATGAGGTAGACATTTTGACAGCCTTTCTGCACATTTCTTATTTCTCCTCAGTGTAGATGCTATCTTCAGTTTGCCCATCATGGGGTTGTTTACCAGTTTTGCTCCGTGCCCTTCAGGCTGCTTTGATTCCATGTGTAGATTGTTGAGTTGTCAAAACATGCATGCTTGGGGGTTATGCTTACACCACTACATGGATGACTGGCTTCTGTTAGCCCATTCAGAAATGGAGTCTTCACATCACGCTGCTTGAATGGGTTGGATTATCATGTTGGAGAAGTCTTTCTTCTCCCCTATCCATATCTTGTTCACTTGGGGGTCTTTTTAAATTCCTGTCTCATTTGAGTCCAGCCTTTTCCCTTCAATGGAGCTTTCAATTCTCCACACCCGTGCTACTCTCCTTTACTGCTTTTAAGGATCCATTGGTTTTGGGGATGTGGGTTTCTATGGAAGCACTTATCCTTATGGATTAGGCACATATGCAGTCTCTTCAGTGGACTCTGCATGACCAACATAATTCTTACTCTGGATTCCTTGGATTCTCCATTACCTTTCTTCCTTCCTTCATTGACAATCTACATTTGTGGTTGCACACAGCCCACACTGATGCTTCCCTACATGGTCAAGGGGTGTGAATTGATCAGCAGGAAGCTTCCAGACAATGGTCTACAACCAAGTAATCTTACCATATCAACACCTTGGAACTTGTTATGGTACAATAAGCTTTGGATCACTTTCTTCCTATAGTCAGGAATCGAATTGTCATGATCCATTCCAACAATTATACAGCAGTAGCTTATATAAACCATCAAGGTGGCACCCATTCTTGTTCCCTTTGTGGTCAATCTTTAAATCTACTGTTTTCAACCGGACAAAATTTATCACACAGAGTGGTTCCTTGATCCTTAGGTGGCTATGTTCATAGTGGGATACTCCTCAGCTGGATGCATTTGCCAGTTTCCTCAATTCCAAATTACTTTTTTGTTTGTTTCTGGTTCCTCATTCACAGGCCCTAGCTGTTGATGCATTCAGCCAGGATTGGACCGATCGATACCTTTATGTTTGTCCTCTAATCCGTCTTCTTCCCCGGGTGATTTTGATCATCCATGCCACTCCGTGTCAGGTTCTTCTGATTGCTCCTTACTGGCTAACACAACCCTGGTTTCCTTGACTAATCCAACTCAGTACTGCCCCTCCGTTGCCTTTTCCCATCCTTTCGACATCAGCCTTGGTCACCAGTATTTCATTCTGCCCTTCCTACTCTCCATCTTCATGCCTGGTATTTATCAGGTCCTTGGTGAGGATATCCAGATTGCCTTGGCAGGTCATTTCCTTTTTAGCTCGTTCCATTCATCTTTCCTCATTGGAGGTTTATCAACATAAATGGAACATCTTCTGCCATTGGTATTTGAGTCAGTGTTTTTCCCCTTCTCAACCTACCATTCCTTTTATTACAGGTTTCCTCACGTGGCTGTTCAATCGTGGAACTTTGGTCTCGTCCATCATTGGATATCAAGGAGCCTGACCCCATACCTTCCATTTTTCTTGGTACTGTTTTGTGTTTGCCTCACCTACCCTTTCCCTCTTGTTGTGTTCCTTCCAGATTTGTAGACGTCTTTGTCGAGTGGTCCTTCCGGATTGGGATGTCAGTGTGGTTCTCCACTGCCTTACTCAACTTCCATTTGAACCTTTGTCTCTTTGTTTTGCTTTTCCCTTATGACCTACTTCCTACTCCTATAAACCTGTGGGTGTCATTGGTCTTTCCTCCCCAGACTTAGGCTGCTTGTGAAGATAATTCTTCTATTTGGCTGATTTACCTTCCTTCTCTCTCCCATCTTTATTCTCGATCTGATTTGGACAGGCTTCTATGTCCCATATTGGCTCCACATGGTCTGCACAGCTTCCTTCTGTGGTTCTTGTTCATGCTTTTTAATTCCCTGGCAAAATTCCTCTGTTTGTGACCTTTCTCCTTCAACACTCACCAATTGTGTTTGGCGTTTGATTCGATTGGCTTATTCCTGTTTGTCTCCTCCTTGTCCAAATCTGTTCCAGGTGTTGTCAAATCAGATCAGGCACCTTACCTTTTCCATGGTGTCTTAAATTAACTCTGTTATCCATTGGAAGAAATTCTTCAAACAGGCATGTGAACTACTTCTCATACATTTATCTCCCGCTATCTGAATCAGGTGACTGTTTCATACCATCTTCTACTTGTTGCCATTCTTCAAACTTCGGTGGGACTGTGACTGGATAAGTTATCTTTTTATACACATTTTAATTTCTTTTAGGGGCATGTTACTTTTTTTATTGTTAGGATCATGTTCCATGGCAAGTGTTGCCTGTCTAGGTATACTTAATATATCCCAAATCCACACTGAACAGCCATGATGCTATATGATACAATATTCCCATGGCCAATAATGCACACTGTTGAAATGGGATGTTCCAAAAGATCACTTTTAGGTTTTCCCTTGCAACATACTTGCTTCATTAATATGCTCGTTCTGTATCGTACTAACTCATGGACTTACATGGGTAAAGCAGCTTTGGATAGCTGCCCATCCGTGCTGTCCCTGCAATTTAATAAATCAGGGGCAGTCTGCTTTTCAAAATAGGGTTTTCATGGTTACCCATTGCACTGTCTCCAGTTTTGTTGTTCCTCTGGATTCTCCACCACATTTTATCCCTCCTTGTTCTTGTGGAGTATGGGAGTCCTTGTCATTTTCCAGTTTCAAGCTGTTGGGGTGGTGGACAATGGAGCTTTCCTCCTGAATGTGATCGTACACGAATAAATAAATATGCAATATCTATTCATTTGAGAGTAGGGCAGGAGTGTTCTGCTGGTGTAGATGATGCTGGTCTTTCATTTATGTGCTCCATCTCTATATGGTGAACTCTGAGGGTTGATGTTGCATCCAGCTTCTGTGACTGTCCAGAGGGTGCAGTTGCATATCATTTATAAAGACTTCACTTAAGTGCGGTGGTACCCTGAAGTTTGTGATGCACTCCAATTCGGTATGGTCCTGTCTGAGGAGATGATGTGGCTTTGGAGTTGATCTGTCACATTGCAGTTCACCCCTTCAATTGGGATCCCTCATCCTACCAATTCATAGATATCAGTTCCCGGTGACTGGTTTTGGAGTTAGAGCAGGACCAATCAACATAAGTCCTCACACATGTGTTGCTTGTGTTTTTTATTCCTCCTTCAATTTGCCTCATGATCACACAAAACAAAGGGGGTAATGTTGAAGGAGACAACGGTTCTCCCTCTGGCAGTCCACCTCAAGGAGGTTTTGCAGCCTGAGGTTCCTGTGGTGCAGTGAGGTGCCTTTTGGATTGAGTGTTATTATGTTATGACCTCCCACAAGGGCACATTTCTTACTGCCTTCATTCAGATTTCTGGTTCCCTGATCTATGATTAGTTGTGGATGATGCACATGTGCCTGTTTCATAGATCGGTTTGCATAGTATGTACTTCCATTCTAATGAACTTGAGGTGAAGATGATTTGGCCCTCTTCCCATGGATCGGAGGTTTTATTCCCAATACCACTTGATTTTGCACTGGAGTTGACCTGCCATGTACAGTAGCCATTGTACACCTAGCACATCTAGTTTCACTTTCCCACACATTACTGTCTGTAGAGGATTCATTTGTAACCTCTCTTCAATGGGATAGAGAGTATGATATCACGGGGTTCAGATTGCAATCCAACTGTTTTCTCTCCCTCTTGGTTGTGCTCCTTTTTTTTTGCCAGTTTGTGCGATACCTCTTCTCACACTGTGCGAAGAGTATATCTGGTACAGAAGTGGTGTAGTCTCCCATGTATGATTCTCTATTAAGAGGATCATTAGTATAGGGTGTTCTTTGGACTCTTTCAAAATATACTTCTTTTTATCCTTCACACTGGTCCCTCCACCTCTTCAATGTGGGATTCTAGCTATATATGTGAGAAAAGGTAATGTACTTTATCGGAAGTTATAATTTTCCTATGCTGAAAATATATTTCCAATACGTACTTACCTCATCTCACATTTGTCCTCCCCATTTAAAACAGGTGCTTCCTTTTCTGCCTAAACTCGAAGTGTCAAGAGGGTTTGTTGCACTCCTATTGGTGAAGTTGTTGCATGATGATTTGCATACGAGACACAGTTGAACCACAATAATCAAGATAAACAAGAATAGCTATATTTGTGAGAGGAGGTAACTAACTATTGGAAATATATTTTCAGTATAGGAAAATTATAACTGTTAAGCTTTTATTAATTGAAACATAGATTAAACAGCTCAACTTCATAATAAGTTGCTTTCTTTGATTAATCTTAAATCAGTCAAAGTTCTAAAATGTCAACTTTGATAGTATTACATATTTTATATTAAGTTATTATTGAACTATATGAGCTGGTATTGAGGGTATTACATAAATTGAAAAAAAAACTAAACGTGTTCAACTACTAACATGAGGGATAACAAGTTATGACAAAGCTTTGTGGGGTGCTGTATTGATCTCAACTATAAAAATTGTTTTTAATATCAGACAGTAAGAAGGTATTTGTAGCAAGGGTTAGGAATCTGTAAAAATCTGAAAATGTACTGTTTGGGAATTTTAAAATGTTTTATTAATAGAGTTTGAGTTTTGGACAGCAACAAGACTACTTCAAGTTTAATATGTAGTTAATAAAGTTTACTATAACTACTTCTACAGTTCTTTCATTTTAAGTACTGTTTACATGCAAGTTTGTCAAAAACATACCTTGATATTTTTTATTCTCTTGCAGGGTTGAGAGGAGGGAAAGAGCCCGGCTGAAGTCAGTCAAATTTCAGGGAAAGAATAGTTTTAGTGATGGAAAAGTAAGAGATGTTTACCAGTTTCTACAGAATAGTGACAATTAAGAAATAACTTAGCATATGTGGATAATTTTAAAAGTGTGCTTATTTCACTGGTGAAACTCAACATGTGGTATTAATACAGTGGATGGTCATATAGAAGTTTAGTTTACTAGCATAATTGTTTAAACACTTCATTTTTTGTATAGATTATACCAAGATTAATAATCTATAGTCTTTTATGTACTTACTGTTCTTCTGAATATGTGATTAAGAATTTTGTTTATATAAAAAACAATAATATTAACATCATTTTACACCCAAGTTTCAAATATTAAATTGTTTGTACATTAGTATTTAATCTGTGTTGTACATTAAGTTGCTTTTTTTAAATTTAGAAACTTTTAGATTATTACAACAAAGAAATTAAATTGTAGGATCTTTCCAAATTCAACTGAGTATTGTAATTAACTCTGTTTCTTCAATCTTTATTACCTTGAGAATAGATTGTCAATTTACAAATGGATTACTAGTTTTAGAATTTTGTGTATTAACAAAGTTTGTAAGTATAACATGCAAGTTTATTTCAGAAATCATAGTCTTGTCACCCATGGAGTTAAATTTTTTTGTTTTAGTTAGTTACTTATGGTGATTGTTTTATTTTGGATGACTGCTTTATAACTCAACTGTTGTTCGCATGTGGATCTAGAACATTTTTTACATGATGCAATAGTTTAGTACAGTTGAAGTTAGAGAATGCCCAGTCTTATATAAAATTTAACTTTACCTTTGTGGTTTATTGCAGAGTACACTAGATAGAAAGAAAAAAAATTTCTCATTTTCTCGAAAGTTCCCTTTTATGAAAAACAGAGACAATAGTGCTGAAGATGGCAGTGATGGAGAAAGTAAGTTATAATCTTCAAACTTGTTATTGAGTAGATGGTTCAAACCATCTTATGAAGTTCAACAGTTTTGTGTAGATTGGTACTTACTTCACAAAAAACAAATAGTTAATAAGGCTATTATAAATGGTTTGCTTAGATAGACATAATTTATGTTGGTAACAAAACATATTTTCTATATATGAAATGAGTGTCAGATGACATAACTGCAACTAAAACATGTACCAATTGTTAATTCTTTCTTCCATCGTTTGACATTTTTATGGTACTTTAGTTTCACTCCGCTGAATTTGATATCAGTTAAACTTTCTTTGGGCCTTCAGTTGTGGAACTTACTTTTAGAAAAGAGAAACTACTTGTTTGATATCAGCTAGGAACTTATTTTTGTAAATAACTAGTAGAAAATGAAAATTTAACACAAATTTAATTATAATTATTATAGAACTGCAAGTGACATGTTTATGCTCAATCTCAGGATTTGGTTATTGACCGAAAGAAATAACCATGTTGTGTTTTCAGCATTCAAATTCATCAAGACTTGAAATAAAATATTATTTTGGTGTTTTTTTCAAAGTATTTTGTTCAAACTGCAAACCATTGAATACCAAATAAGTAAAGAACAAAACAGAAAAAATGCCTAGGTTATTGTGTAAAATGGTTTAAACAAATTACAGATCAGGAACTGCGCTAGCTCTTAGCACAATTCAAACAAACACCAAACTAACATTTCATTTAGGTCTTTGATAATTTTAGCATGCTCAAATCACAAAATGGTAATTTGTTTTCAGTAAGTAATGGAATACAGAGATTGAACTTCACCCATGTGTTTATATATATACATACGTATATGTATGTGTTAGAAAGAATTGTTTCTTTTTTGTAAGTTGTCAATGACTCAAAAGCATTAAAAGTTATTTTTTTAAAGGCTAAGTATTTTATGTAATATAGCTTCAAATTAGTTTATGATTGTAAGGTAGTTTTGGAAATGCTTACATAGATATATATATTTTTTGCTATTAGACAAATCTCTACTTTGTTTCAATATTTAATAAATTAATTTTGATGACCAGTATTGATACGCATAAACAGTAAAAGATCCCAAAGTGGCTTTTACATTGCTATAAATAAAATTAAAAAAATTATATCTTGGTTAAATATTTTTACATATTTAACCTGTATTCCAAACAACTGAACTTGTGAAAACTAATTAGATTCTGTTTTGTTTACTGAAATTTTCAACACTTACTCAATTATTAATAAGCAATGTACTCATTAATTTTAAATGAATTTTCTAATTAGATTTTGATTTTGTTAATTTTTTAGGATTTTTTTTATTTGTTGTAGCTGTGATGAATATGCTGATAACATAGAATAAGTAGTGATTTTTAATAGTTTAATTGTTTGTACAAGTGTTTTAATTTTGAATATATAAATATGATTTTTTTCATTTTGCTTCATGCTTTGAAGGAGATTATTCCCCAACAAAAGGTCAGTTTATAAGAAATTACTTTTAAATATATAGATATATCTAAAATGACCCAGGGAAGCATTATTATTGTTGTTTTATTCAACATTTTTGATAATTTATTGATGAGTCATTGCACTTAACCTGTGTGTGATTACCATGTGTGTAGGCATGTGTTCCAATAATCTGTTTGTTACAATTTTACAGATCTTGTGTTATTCTTTTTTCTTGCTTTAGATCCAGTCAGTATTACAAACACTAGTGACAGTGAGGCCAGTAGCATTAGTAAGTAGTCTTTTATTTTTGAATTGTAATTTAATTTTTTCTTTTTCTTTTTGATGTGATACAATACTTTGTCGGAGATGAGTCTTCAATGTAATTTGAATCATTTGTATTTTTGAAGTTCTATTTTGTATCATTGCTTTGATGGGCAAAAGTAGCTGGATTTCAACTAGTATAAATAGGCATACATAAAAGGATATGTGATGAATATTTTTTGGATTGTACCAAAATTTCCTAATGAAATATAAGAGGATAGACAATGTTTCAGCTGCAGAACTGCTTATGGTTCTAATATTTCTTTCCGCTGATATGTTGAAAGCAAGTTAAGCACTCTCAATCTGTCGTGTGCAAGTATTAGCTGGTCATAGAGTAGTTGTTTATTCTCTGGTGAACTCGCATCTAATCTTGCTTTACTGATATCCATTTACTGAAATGCTGAAAGTCCTGTAATGTAACCCTTGAAGGAGGAGGGAATTTTTTTGCATCTGAACTTTCAAATCACCACATCTCAATTGAATTACAATAAGATGGCCAAAATTCTTTAACTTCTGTAGTCACAGCTTACAATGATGGTCAAGGGGAAGGTGACTGAGTTTGTAAATTGCTACCATGTATATCTGTCTGTAGATTGAGTACTGGAAATAATTATGAAAATGGGTTAAAAAAAAAGGTAAATACTATAAGAATGCAATCCTTTTACTGTGTTAAAATTAACTGCCCCATAATACAGCCACACACTGATAGCTTACATTGTGATCAGGTGTCATTGAACCAATCAGAAAATGTCATATTATTTTAAGGTCTGTAAACATACAGGTAGTCATACTTCTTGTAATATTAGTGTAAATCCAGAATGACTCACTAGATTGAAATACCACATGACAAATGTAGAAACCAAAGTTTTGGATGGTCAAGGATACTCCATATAAAAGATTATGGCAAGACTTCATGTTTAGGAGCTGTATACAAAACTCTGAAGAAGGTTACAGTATAAACTGGGACTATAAATAATAGAGCCCCCAGGACACAGTGGTATGTCTGCAGACTTACAATGCTAGAAACCAGGTTTCGATATCTGTTGTGGGCAAAGCACAGGTAGCCCATTGTGTAGCTTTGTGCTTAACTAAAAACAAACAAATAAGAAAACATACATAAATAATAGAAGTGGTTGAGGTAGAAAACCAGAATTTTCCAAAAGCAACATTAAGTATCTCACTGTGTTCACATGATGGATGAATGTTAAATATGCATCTTGTCAGTGATGTTGCTGTAAGTATAGGCATGGATTTTACCTTCAGAAGAGTAAAATACACATTAAAATGAAATGGTATCACTGGAAGTATGCCTGCATGAAAACAGCTACTGGGAAGAGGTAACCAAATGAAGAGATTAAAATGAGCATCAAGCCACAACAGTAAATTAAGCAGAGCTTGTGATATTTGATTTTTTACAGATAAATCCCAAATTGAATAATCAGCAACAATCAACAAGAGTTTCTATTATGGGAAAATGATGACAATCTTATAGTTAATGCACAATATCTACATTGAAGCATGGTGGGAATCAGTACACATTTGGGATAGCATCTCAGTCAGAAGTGTACATCATTCCATTCTCTCGGGAAGATGACTCATTGGATGGATATTCATATTCCAGCAAGATAATGATCCCAAGCATACAGCAGATATGGTGAAATATTATCTTGATGATTAAAGGCTGATGGCAAACTCAACCATGGCTTGGCTTGTACAAGGTCCTGATATGAACATTTTTAAAACCATATGGGCTTATGTAGAAACTGAGAAGATCAAAAGACAACCAAACAACATGGCTAATTCATAATACAGGATACTTGAAACAATCTTCCACAATTGTACATTGTTATAGTGTACACCCAAACACTTTCTTTATGGAGTTTTCCCATATTCTTTAGATGTTCACGTATTGTTTCGTGAGAGACATGCAATGTCAGGGCCATTTCATGAGTGTGTGTTGCCTTGGGTTAGACTCGACAAGCATCTTCAGAGCATCAATTCCAACATGTCGACCCCTGCCATCACAGTTTTAAGGCTAAAGTCACCTGAATGAAATTTGCTGAACCATCGTTGATACTTAGGAATGTTCAAAACATTTCCATAAACTTCTTAGATATTCTTTGTGGCTACAGAGGCATTGTTTCCCTTCTTGTATTCAAACAGCATTACATGCCGAATGTGTGTCTTGTCGTAGCCCATCACTATAAGAGATTATACT